TAATTAACGGTTAATGGAACATGGTAAACGAGAAATTTTCCTTCTTTTTTTCATCCTTTTACATCATTGTGATACGATTTAGAGAAAATCGTATAATGAAGCGATTTCAAAAAGGTTCTCTTAACACACTGATGACGGTATGCTTTGATAGCCTGAATTCCCATAGCATATTTTTCAATTATTTAAATAAATAATTGAAAAAAATTCAAAAGAGTGTATAGCATTTAACAAGTGTAATATTTTATTAATAATCAACGAGAATATTTGATGATATTCTAGTAACAAGTTTTTTTTAGCGTGATATGCTTTCAAAAAGAATTTCTCCGATGGAGAGATACCAAGCAAAATTTACAAATGTATCGTGTCAAAAAATTTAACTTCATTGCCACTGTCGGTAATATTATTTTCACTCTCGGCATCACTTGTCACATCTGACGACGCATCAACAGATTGAACTTCCACTTTCGATTGCCTCCTCGCTAATTAGATAAAAGTTTTTTTCAAAAAAATTTTTAAAATATCGATAACGATTTCTTGTTATTCAAGCATGCAATGTAAAAACACATTCGTAATATTTCAGCATTCATTGCTTTCTTTTACTCTTTTATTTATTTAATATTTTTTTATAAGATATCGCATGTTAAATGCGAATCTTAACGTCTCTCGTCATCAATGTGTTAAGATACTCTTTATATAATGGAATTTTTTCGCGAAGAGGAGAAAGGATGTTAAAGAGAACGTTCTTCAGGAATGCGTCAAATTGGAAATGCAATCGCGTACTGTTCACTGGTGGAAAGAAGTCTCGCAAGATGGCACAGAGGCAAGAGTGGGGAGTCCTTCACTAGGTGGGCTTATCCCCACTTTAGACATTTTGTTGACAATTCTGACACCACACACTGCATACTAATAGAAGAATTATAATTTGAATATTCAATCATCTAATATTGAAATATTTTCGAAACTAATTATTTCGAAATAATATTAATATGTCTATGGTATGTCTAGATTATTCGTGTGCATACAATTATTATTTTAATTACTCGAATTTATAAATTAAATTAATGTTACAAATTGCAATTAATTTACGCATATTGTGAGAAATAAAAAAATTTTTATCGATAGAGAACTCTATGTTCACGCTAATACATCGAGGTTTGGATACAGATCGTCGTTTTAGATTAGTATATGAGACAAATACTATGGTAGAAACAAAAACAGTACTGTTTACTGTTGGAAAGAAATCTAGCTGGACAAGGACAAGAAAGGTGGAACTGCCTATCCCCACTTAAGACGCTTTGTTGACAATTCTGACACTACACATTGCATACTAGTAAAATATAGCTATAACTTGAATATTCAAAATCGTAAAAATTATTTTCATTTATGAAGTTAGAATAATCATCGAAAATTGAAAGCTGAAATATTTTCGAAATAGTACGTGTAATTTATTCGTGTACATGCAATTATTATCTTATCTACTCGAATACAAAATTACATTATTATAAATTAAATTATTATTACAAATCGTAATTAGTTTACACATATAAGAAATAAAAAAATTTTTACATCGATACGATATGTATGTCACGAATATCATGGTAGAAACAAAAATTTCCTTCCACATTAACCAATCAAACCTGCCTTCCTTTCGCGAGATTTCTTTCCACCAATGAACAGTAAAGAATTAGAAGCTCGATAACTCGATATATTAATCGGACCTATACTAATCTTTGGTATTTCCATCATTTGTGCACAATATGTTTTTCAATCTCGACGCGATACAACGACGAACGATCGTTGAAATTGAATCCTCCCGTTTAAGATCGTGGCTTCCCAAGGAAAAGTGAGCTCGCGTGCCGTGACCGATAACGCTAAGCTTGGAGGCTTAGCTTAAAGGAATAAAGATAAATGAGGGCGTTTCGTGCGGGACAAATTGAAAGTGGAAAGATGCCTCCATATATCGGTATTTGTTCCCGCGCATCGCGAATAAGCTGGAAAACATATTTTTTCCAATTAAAAAGGGGGGAGGCGGGAGGGTGGGCAATCAAATTTCGTTAAAAAAATTCAGCCGGTCAGGCTGAAGAGCTTCCAGAGCTTCATCCTTCATAGCATGTGTCGCTTCTTCCCTCTTCTTCTTGTCGACGACGAAAAAATCCTGTGTCGATACTATATTCGACACAATGGGAGGTTTACAATAGAAGGTTTCGATGTCCATTGTACGTGCACAACGAACGAAAAAGATCAAACATTTCTTTCGATCGATCTTCCTTTTGTAAAGACACGTTCACCGCGAGAGAAGTAAGATAGGAGGAAACGTTTCTTCCTAAAAATACCCGATCGGATCTGGTGAGTTATATACCAAATAAAATCCGAAAAATTTGCGAATCCCTTTGCAACAACGAAGTAAAAAGTTATCAATCCGACAAAGACGAATGATCGTGCATGAAATAGAAGAAACGCGTAATCGTAAAGGTCCTTGTAGATATTCCGTCCAACGGATCGACGAAAATTATTCGATCCTCTTTTGTTTCGAATTGTTTCGCGTAAAGAAAGAGAATAGAAATATAAATCGCGTCGCACAAAGAATCGCAGGGTAGAGAAATTGTTGCGAAACTCGAATCGAATTGAAAGAGAAGCGTAGAATTATCCGATCGAAATCGACCGATGCGATTATCTCACGAGCGATCGCAGCTCAGTGAAGTTTCGTGAAAACAACGATCGCAGTAACGATAAACGGGCGTTTATCCCCGTTTTATCCGTTAATTCGACCGCGATAACGACGCATGCGCCCTTTCAGATAAATTTCTCTCCTCCTTCTTCTTCTTCTTCTTCTTCTTCTTCTTCTTCTTAATTCAAAAATACGATTGGCGATCGATCGGCGTGAAAGGAGTATAATCGAATCGCCTCGATCAAACCGCCACTTCCTTCGTATTGACCGCTGTCAGTCCCCGGTGATATTAGATTACAAACACGTAACACGATTTTGAATCGACCGGTAACTATATTCCAAGTTTCTTCCTCGGTCGCGATACTCGATCTTTCCAGATGATTCGATGTTTCCACTCGTCGAACCGATAACTCGATCAACACACCTCGCGACACCTTTCGCCATTCTCGTCAACGTGGAGTCGTTCCAACGAGATGTTCGACGACGATGACGATAATTCGCGTATCGGAGAATATAAGGGAGGGTAAACAGAGGGGAGAAGTTCTCCTCTTTTTTTAACAAGAAAAGTTTAATTATGTTTCCGTTAAAGCTCCGTGACACGACCAATTCCGATTACAAGGAACGAAAGTTTTCCCGCGGGGCGAGGGGAAAAAATGCGCGGGAAACTCGCGGCGCGACGAATGTCCGTTTTTTCCCGCTTTCGACACCGACCCATGTATGTATAACGCCGGGGATAATTTACATGGAAATGAGAATCGGCATTGATTTTACGTCGAAGCCAGTAACAGAGCCGGCTTCCGGTGATAGATTGTCCCGCCACCTGACGTCGATCAAGTTTTCTTCCGTCGAAAACCAGAAGGCATCGGAATTCCCTCTTCCCCCCCCCTCCCTCCTCCTCCTACTTGCTTGCAACCTCCCACCGTCCAAACTTCCACGGATTGCGAATTTCTCTTGCGTGCGCCGATCCTCGAGGCGTCGAAACACGCGCGGCTTCCCTCCCCTCATCTTTTCTTTTTTTTTCTTTTTTTTCCGTATCATCGTTTTTTGGAACGAGGAAGGAGGCGATAGTTCCACGTTCCAAGTTTTCGACGGGCAAAACAGAGAGACGGGAGGAGGGAGGGTGGGGATTTCGACGTAAATGAAACGAAACGCGCTGCGAAATAAATCTTCCCCGTTTTCCCTCCCCCTTTCCTTCTTATTCCACTCCTTTTTTTCTCCCCCGCCCGAAGGAAACGACATCGAGAGGAAAAGCAATTTCAAACCCCGTCCAGATGCAACCGCATAAATCTTAGAGCAGCGCAACGCCGAAAGAACAACGCGTCCGTCGTTCAGGTTGAACAACGTTATATCCAAGGACTTATGGAAATCGTGGCGAAGAAGAAGAAGAAGAAGAAGAGAAAAAGAAAAGAAAAGAAAAGAACGAAATACAACATATTCCGCCGATAATCCGGATATCCGGTGAGTTGCCGATATATTTTTCCCCCACTCTCTCCCCAAAAAGCCGAAAAGCACAGCGCACGTGTTGTGTGTGTTGTGCGTTTTTCGGGGGGAAACACAGCCCCGAAATTGCGCCATTAATTTAACCAAACGACGCGCCACGCGTCCCCTCTCCTCCCCGTAATTTCCAGCAGGGTCATTAAAGCGGCGCTAATATTTCTTCTAATCGTATCAACGGGAAAAAATCTACCGGAAATTGTATCGGCGGCAATCCTGTAAGATCCGAATTATTCGAAAGAAACGTTGTTTCGATGTAGAGATTCGTCTTGAAACGTGACGACAGTGAAGATTCGTATCGCCACGAATTTTCATTTTCAACCGTTCTTAACCACCACCTCTCTCTTAACCTCTCTTTCCTCTTCCTTCGTTCGTTCGTTTTCTCGACGATGAATAGTTCGATAAGACGAAGACGAGAATACGGGACGCGATCTTCGATCCTCGATCTTCTCGAGAGAGAGAGAGAGAGAGAGAGAAGAGACAAAGGCCGCCTCTTTCTCTCTCTCTCTATCTCACTCATCGAACGGATCGTGAAAATCGTGGCTTCGATGTTCCAATAAGTCCGCGAATATCTATAAAAATGTCGGACATGTTCCCGAAACTTTAAATCGGCCGGCTATTATTCCGATGAGGGGTGGACGAAAGTTTCTCGATAAATCATAGTGAAAAACCGAACCGGGACGGCTGAAGGTAAGGAAAGGAGGGGGGAGGGGGAGGGGGAGGGGAGGGGGAGGGAAGAGAAAAGGGCGGAGTTGTAAAACTAATAAATATTAATACCGCGCTGTTACTTCATAATCGATCGAAGGAAACCTTTATTTTTTTTCTCTTTCTCTTTTTCTTTTTTTTCTCTCCGTTCGATGTACAGTTTTCGAAATTATTTATCGTATAGTAATTTTTTTTTTTCGAGCAATAAAAAAAAAGAATTCGTCGTGTCAGACGCGCGATCGCAAAAAAAAACCGAAACAAATTTGACGCTCGTGTATTCGTACGTGAATTCTTGTAAAGGTCGCCATGTGTGTGTGTGTGTGTGTGTATTTCTGCCATTATGTAATCTGGTGTCGGATGATATCATGCACATGGGTTACAAAAAAAAAAAGAGAAAAATAAAAAAAAAGGAATTAGCTCGAAATTGTAACGTATATCGAGCATATTGCGTCCGCGCTATTTAATCGGAGAACGATGAATTTTTATTCGTAATATATGGCGAACACACAACACCACGCGTAAATATGGTTGTTTTGAAAAACGTAGTACGAATAATTGTCTCGTTCCACGTCCCAAAGGCATTGGAAACCCGCGTGTAAACTTTGATCGAAACGTTGAACTATCGTCGCCTGCACCACTAGCTTGTACCTTGTAAACAAGAGAGAATAAACGAGTTATCCAAAATACCACCGTCAATTATCAATAATAAATTAATTTCTTAACAAAATTACGACGCGTGTCTAGCGCGCTCTCGTATCGAAAAAAAAAAGGAGGGGAGAGGAAGGGGGCGGAGGATTTTATGAAGAAATTTACGAGAGAGAAAATCGTTTGGTATCCATTTATAACTCGTGAAAAAAATATGGACGAGCCTATTACCTATCGTAATCCTTTCTGAGAAGCGCGTTTTGCAACTCGTTGTTGATCTCGCAGCACAATTTGGCCATGATGTTTGGATGATAGGACGTCACCGTCGACAATTTACTCTCCATCGTGTCCCTCACCATGTTATCGACCACCTCTATGTTAAAAGGATTAAACGATTCGAGCCGATAGGTATTCTGGTACTTGGGAACCTGAGCGTATTTCATCGAAACATATCGGTGTCGATTAATCACCTGTATCACTTGTCCCTCATTTCGATACGATATGTATTTTCGAGGGATGTTAGCTCGGTATCCTCTTTCTTACCCTTAATACCTTTTACGTACCTTCATTCGATCTGTACGTTTATGGAAAAACACTCGACTCACCGAATTCATACCAGAATTCTTCGAACCTAACCTCTTTTTACCCTGAAGAGGAGATATAAACGCTGTTAAATCGACGATGAACAATCAGATTGGTAATCCTTACCGGGGCTCGCCCCTTGATTTACCTCGTTAAATTGTACACCTCTTAAACTAAGAGGTTTTTGCAAATTGGGATTTGAAACTTTTGAACTTTTCCCGGATCGAAGTTCTGCGTTGATTTGCTTCCCTTGTTGTTGTTGTTGTTGCTGATGCTGCTGTTGTTGTTGTTGATTCATCGTTGAAAAATACGATTTAAAAACACAAGATTCGAGATTACAAAAAATTGACAACAAAAGAAATTGTATATATATATCATAGAATATGAAGTTAGATCTTAGTAGTTATGTCGTCGTGAGAGAGAAACGATATTCGGCCATTTGTTTCGAAGATTGCCACGTTCGCCACGCGCCACTTTTGGCGCTTCGCTACTCCTTTGCTTTCCTCGATTCGATTTGTTGATCCGTCGTATCACGGATATATATCTCTAGTAAATATAATTTTCCACAGTTTCGAACTAGTAGTAGTAGTAGTAGTGGATGCGATTCACGTTTCGAGGAAAGATGGTTCTCGATCGAAAAAAATTGGAACAACAAGAGATGGAGATAGAGCGCGTTCGTATTGCAGAGGACAAAGCAAACAATACGGCGCGCAACTCTTAATTTATATTGAATGTAAGAAGCTTAGCGAGGAAAAGAGACGCCGAAAGAAAGTCTTCGAGAAATCACCGTCTATTTGTATTCTATTTCAATTTTCCTCGTCTTATGCTCTTTAAACAAGGATTATCGAGATGACGAGCCAGAAAAGAAACAAGAAACGCTCTTTCTCCGTTCGCTTTTCTTTTCTCTTTCTATATATATAATATACGATATTACGACGATCGTTTCGAGAATTACTTCTCTCTTCAATTGCGATTCCCGACCAATCACTTATTCCAAAATAATATCACCGCTTGTCGAATAGGAAAATGAAGGAGAAAAAGCATCGAAGTGAGCATCCGGAACGTAGAATAGGACGAGAATTACTTATCGGAGCGTAATAAACTCGCGATCTTGGAATAAAAAAAAAAAGAAAAGTTGGAAATTACATCGATTGATCGCATCCCGTTACTCTTCACGAAAAAAAGAAAGAAACTCTTTTCGGAATATTTCTCTTCGAGACGATGTTGGTAGCTTCGTTCCCAAGAAAAGCGAGAGAAGTCGCCGATTAATCGTGAAAATTATTCGAGACTCGAGTAATAGGAAAGGTAGGTGTACAAGAATGCAGCCTCTATCTCTCTTAAAAGGAACCTGTCGATTCGAAAGCTCGATGCTTGGAAGGGAATGGAAACGAGAGGAAGCCGTGAACTTCGATTTTTCATCGAGATAAAATTCATAGTTGATTTATGCCAACGACCTTTATTGCGACCTCTTACGGGAAGAAGAAGGGTTGAAGGGGGCTCGTAAGAGCGAGCGACTCCTCTCGATAAAAACCGATATTTGCGTGTACGCTGCGTTCCTCGTATAATTCAACTTGCATTCCCTCCTCGCTGTTACGTGACACCCATCGTTGATCCCATTCCCAATGAAAACTATAGAATTGCCGACAATGGGGGGAGGGGAAGGAAAAAAAGGAATTTAACGATAAGAAGACGGAGAAAAATGGCTGGTTGTTATCGATTTTCTAGAAAACTTAAACTGTAAACGCGCAAGTTTCCATCGCTTCCTCTCTCTCTCCCCTCTCGTTCCAATCTCAACTGCGCTCGATTGTCGTATAGAATACTTTGATCGATCGAAATAATTCGTAATCCTCTCCTGTGATTGGTGACGCTCTGTAAATTATCATCGCCCATTGTTCAAGCTCGTTAACTCGCAATCATTCGAGATCATTCTCGCGCACAGCGAAGAGGGAAACTTAGAAACTCCAAGTCCATCCTATTCCTTCCCTTTCTGTAGCAAATTTACCAAAACTCGGCTCGATCCTATCGACCAATGGCTTCGACGGATCCTTCGCTTCGAGGGCTTAACTTCCGTATACGATAACAAACGTTCATTCTCGTTAAAGTTCAAGTTCGTTTAAGCGCGCGGGTAAGTAAGGAACGCTTTCTTCGGTTCATCCTTTATCTCTTTCGCTACTACGGCCGACTGGTCGTTCTGCACAAGACGCCACTGAGGTGCTACGTCTGACTACAGTCGTTCTGCAACAAGACGCCACTGACGCGCTACGAGCGATTACACTCGCTCTACACAAGATGTCGCGTATTGTACGATATGACGAGCGATTGTCGCGCATCGATATTTTGTTTTTATCGTCATTATTTTTTTTTTTCAAAGCAACGTGGCCGCCGACGATCTTTCTCGAGCACCGTGCACATTTTTGAAAAGGTTAAAGACGTAACGATTATCGTTTTTTATTTACGGGAGATTCAAATCAAACGAGACGCGTTTCGAATATCTTTCCATCGATTTTTCGATCCTTTTTTTTTTTTTTTCAAGCTACCAACGATCGACGAGGAATCGCATTGTTGCAAAACTGCATCCCTTTTCTCTATCGCTTTGACAATCCGTTGTGAATGAACGCATGAACGAAATCTTACGAAATCGCAATTTTCGTATCACGTGTAAGATAAAAAAATGTTGAGATAATAACAATTAATAATAGCAATGGCGTAATCTTGCGGCGTCTCTCGTCTCTTAGGCGGCCGCCTAACAGATGCCTCTCCCTCCCGATTTGCATAAAATGAAAACTGCGACCCAAGGGCTGGACTCTCTCCCCATCCCTTCCCCATTATCGGAAAACGTGGCCGGGATTTAATGCGTATAAGCACGGTTAATCGTGCCAATGCAATCCGTTTAACGTTACACGAAAATTAACTTAAAATTGAAAAAAAAAAAGGGGGGGGGGAGAAAATCAATTTCGCGCGCGCCACGTTTCGTTTCCATTCGCATCGTTGAAAAAAAGAAGGGGGGGATAAGGGGGAGAAGGGGAAGGAGGGGATTGCGACGCGGCTACCTTCCTCGCGATATAATATAATAATCGAAATGGACGAAATGTTAAGTCGATTGGAACAGATGTGTATCGTGTCTATTAAAAACAATTCTTATGCTTTCTTATTTTTCTTTTTTCTTTTCTTCTCTTTTCTTTTCTTTTCTTTTCTTTTCTTTTTTTTTTCTTCTTGTTCTTCTTCTTATCTCGTACACATATACGAACCGCGAAATATTTATTATTATTCTATATTAGAATATTACAGTCAGGCAGTTAGAAGGGCAACAAGTTCGACACATGTCGAAATCGTTGTTACGAACGATTCACGAATCTCGTGTGGCGTGGCCGGTTTTCGAATCTCGTGGAAAATTCGATCCGCGCCGAAAGGTAAACGTCGAAGCTCGTAAATCATCGGGGACCTCTCTCTTTCTCTCTCTTTCTTTCCCTTTCTCTGACGCGATTCCATCGATCGATTCGTCGATGTCGGGTTGACGATTTTTTTTTGACGAGAACAGCCATGGACAATGAAGAAATTCGTTCCGTTTCTTTCACCGAAATATCGTGTCCATTAGCAGAACCAGGCTGAATAAAATCACTCTCCTGTTGATGTTCCCGGTACCACCGTGCTGCATCGCCGCGGGATGTTCACCTGAAAGGAAGAAAAACCATGTCCGTGTTCATCGTCATCCGTCATCCGATCCATCCGCAGCTAGGAAAGAAAAGAGAAGGAGAAATTTTATCGAGTTTCAAGCGAAATTTGCATAACGAACCTTCCGATTTGATCACGTGTTTTCTCTTTCGTTCGAGAAAATTGCGCGTTTTCTTTTTTTGAATCCGTTCGAATCCAACTCGTAAACTTTCTTCCTCCACTTTTATATATATATATATATAAAATATCATATATATTATATATATGTATATATATACGATGAATTTTGAGGCACAATAAACCGATCGAAAGTGTGGTACACCGGTAAACTAGTTCTGGACAAGAATTTCTTTCGCGAAATATTCTTAAAATATATCTCGAATATCGCTTCAACGCTCGAACGACTCGAAAACGTCTCGAGGATGGTTTAACGGAATAAAGTAAGTTCTTTTTCTTCTCTCTCTCCTCAACGAAGGAGCTGTTCTTTGGAGAGAAAGAGAGAAAGAGAGGGGGGGAATGTTTAACCGAGCGTGTCTTATTGCTCTATTTTATTTTATTATTCTCACCGTTCAACACATGAACCATCACATTCGCAGGAGCGACCTTGCTCGACACGCACGTGTAATTACCACTGTCGTCGAGCTGGGCTCGCGTTATTAGCAGCTTGCTGGTCGTCCCGTTCTTACCTTTCTCCGTTTCCAGGGAAACGCCACCCCTGTCAAAGGTAAGACATTATTAAGGACGAATTCCGATAAAACCGATCGGATATCGATGACGCCTCTTCCCACTTTTATCCCCCCCTTCCCCCTTTTTTTTCGAAAGCAATCGACTCTTGCCTCCCTCTTTTCTTTTGAATCGAAGTAAAAAAAAAAAAAAAAAAAAAAAAAAGTAAAAGAAACAAGAAACGGAAAGACACACCTTGGACCATCGAAATCGATCATCGCACCGGCATGGTACCAAGTCACGTTGCTCGGAGGGATATCTTGCACGTCCACGATACAGGTCAAGCTGATCGTGCTTCCCTTTTTCACGTACACTTCCTCGGGCCCCGTGATCTTTGCCTGCACATCTGGCGTCGTCGCAACGCGATGAAGAAAAGCGAGGGAAAAAAAGTAAATAAATAAACAAGAGATCAACTAACAGGTTAACAATATACTATGTAGTCTGTATCTGTAGGCATAGAAATTCACGACAAGATTTGACGGACGAAACTTTCGAGCCGAGGTAAATGGTAATATGAATAAAGAATCAATGAATAAAAGATGTTGCGAGTAGGTGAAATTTATTCATAACCGTTTCGTTTTTTTGGCCGGTAAAATAAAGGATAAACTGAAGAGAAGCTTAAAAAAAAATAAATAAATAAATAAATAAAAATAACGAAAGATAGCACCGCACGAACTTGTTGGCGTAGAGAGAATGATTTAAGATTATTTGTTATAATGGATTGGACAGAATAGGACAGCGAGTCCTACGTTTTTCTAACGAACGGACGAGCTGCCATTTCAAATAAAAGACTTTCCGCGGAGAATAATAACGTCCGTTTCTGGAGTAGGGGGAGGGGCGGGGAGGGGAGGGGGAGGAGGAAGAGTGGGGACGAAAGAGTGGGAAGTGGAAAGCGACAGAAACTCACCCAAAACTTTCAAAGTAATCGCCCTATATATCTTGGGCTCTGCATTAACTTGACACTCGTAAATGCCAGAGTCCCGTGGTTGAACGTAATCTATTCGCAGATTCCAGTCGTCGTGCTCCGGATTGCCGACTATCTTAAATCTTGCGTCGCTCGTATAAGTCACCGACATGGACGTTAAGATGTGCAAGTCCCTTTTTCGAATCCAAGACACCTGGGACAAATTCCGAATGAGACATGGAAATATTTCGCCGCCCGTTAACTGCCCGTGATATCGAACTCGTTTCGCAACTATGCGTCCTGTGAAATATGCACGAGATAGTTAACGATAACGTCGTCGTATTTCTCGTTGTTGTATTTTTTTTTTTTACGAATTCGATTTTACAAAATTTACAAAACGATCCCAGAATTAATGACCTCTGAAACCGAGACCTCTCCATGTACAAGTGAATTGAAATTATTGGGGAAAGATTAATTCTACCGCGAAACCAAGTTTCGAAAAGAAAAATATTTATATCGTAACGCGATAGTGTATCGTTAAACCAGGAAAATAGAAAATTACATTAGAAACAATTTCACGAGAACGAAAATTTTGCGTGATTCGCGGCGGCAATACCGTGTCTTATCTTAATTAACGACAAAAATAAATTGAAGGTTCGCGTAGAGAAACAAACGAGATACTGTTATTTCATATTTCGTCGTCTCATTTTTTTGATCTCCTCCGAGAGATCGAGAATTTCTCATCACGTTGCAATTTACGATTACTGAAATCTCTATGACAGACTATTTTAAGCAAATTAATTTCGTATATTCTTCTAATATACAATCATATCTTGTAATCATAGTTATAAAAGTTATACTTTTTAATTATTCGTTCCGAATAACACGGATCTTAATTCACCAATTCGCAGTGACAAGTTTTTGAAATGATTCACTTCTTATTATCATACAGTGAATGTAAAATATATAATTATGAAAAATTATACAATACGAATGGAAATACATGACGCACAATAATCGTAAGTGGCGCAACGTGACCTCATTGATATCCAACTGAACGTGTTGTAATAAAATAACGTTGTTTTATTCAAGTTCGTCTTGTTATTGTTTCGAAAGTTTGCAATATAATTGCGAAGCGTGTAAAGCGACACTACTATTCAAAGAAATATGAAACTCACTGTTCTATTACCCAGATTCTTAACACGACACAACAGCACAACAGTTTGTCCCACAACGGCGACCACTTTTTGGGGCGAGTCTTTATAAAAATACGTCCTCTTCGCACCTCGTTGCGACCGTTCGCCTTTATCGGTCTTTTCCCCATCGAATCGTTGTACCGCTAAAATTCAAGTATTACGCTTGAATCATAGCAAAAATTTCATTTACTAGTCTCTACATCCAATTTCTTTAAGCAAAACAATCCAAGGATTAAAGTAGCGAAGAACATTTTCCATTTTTTTTTTTTTTAATTCCAGTTTTGCCGATAAAAAATATTTTAATGTTCCGTTAAACGTAACACCAACACGTGGCAAAAAATTTCAGGAAAGGATACGTTAAAAAGATGAAATTAAAATTTGTTCATTTGTTCGATCGAAAATCTATCATCGATCGTACTTTTAATTCACGCTAATGAATTCGATCGAGAAATTCAAAATTTTTCAAATTGTACACTTTGAGATTAATTGTACCTAAAGTCCGATGACCGGATGGCGGTTCTGCGTGTAACAGGTATCCGATTCCAAGCAATATAAGAGCCATGCCATGGAACGGTGCCATTTTATTTACGTATGAAATTCTTTCATCTTCATTTGTTGCCTTTTCCGTTTCTTTCAAATTCTAACAAATCTTCAAAAATTATCGATGATCTCTCGATCATCTCTCAATCATTGCAATTTTTTGTCCTTCACCTTCTGAACAATTTCTTCGAGATATATATCATATAAATGATATTTTAACTTTTTATAAATAATATAAATGAAATAAATTTTCACTCGCGTAAATCATAAATGTTTTAATTCCGTCGTGAAATAATAATTGTATTGTATTTTATACAATTTTACACGATTTCATTCAATCTTGATTATTGAAGTAATAGAGATCTCGATCGACAAAAAGAAAAGAAAATCAAAAAATAAAAATTGCGCATATTCAATGAAGAAATAAATTTTATTTCAAAGAAACTTATTATTCTTATACAACAAATAAGATCTGTTCATAGAAAATGAAATGATATTCAATATTCTTGTACTTATTTAAAAAATAATATAAAATGAAAAATATATAAAAAATTAATTTAACTTAATTTTTGACGATTATTGGAAATATAATAGAACACCTTCGAGAACAGCGCGCTTCGATAGCGTTTTCAATACTGAAAGCTACTCCTACTTGAAGGAAGGAAAAGGTTAAAATCAGGGTGCAGTGGCGCCTCGCGATGTTCCTAATATTTGCGATTGCGCCAACAACTCCATCCACTTTTACTAATCTTTTTTACGATCTATTTGTTCTTAATCGCACTTTAATTATTCTTAAGATTTTGTATCTTTTACCGAGATTATATTCAACAATTTTCTATCGTGTTAATTTTCGAAAGTTTAAAGAAATAAAAGAAATGATATTTAATTAAAATTGTTTTAAATTAAAGATTAAAATATTAGATTAATAATTTTATATATTTTAATAATTCAACAATCGTTTAACAAAATTATTATTCAATGAAATCAAAAAAATATCGTGTTACTTATTATATAATAATTCGGTAATAAAATATAGTATGAATAATATAAATCCTTATTTTTTATGCTTGCAGGTACATAAATTACATAAATATAACAAGATAATTTTTTTATAATATAAAATGATAATAAAAATATGATAAAATTCATATATTTTAATAATTCCTTTATCAATAATAATCATATAAAATTATATATAAATTATATATAATTCAATATTGAGCAAAATAAATTGTATAATTCTTTAAATCGTCGTTATTGATTATATATATATATGATACAAAATTTATATATTGTATTATATTATGCATATGTTATATGTGTATAATAATACACTATTAAAATAAAATATTTATTTTCTAAAAAAATCACCCTTTGTACCACCAGTTTTTGAAATTAATTCGATATCGGTTATTTTTATATATTTTGGGGAAGTTGCATATTTACACATATCATAAATTGTTAGAGCCGCAATACTTACGGCTGTTAAAGCTTCCATTTCTACACCAGTTTTTCCAGTGCATCTAACTTCTGCCGTGATTTCTATACGATGTAATTTTTCGTTTAAATGTAAGGATACATTTACATAAGATAATGGAAGTGGATGACATAGAGGTATCAAATCAGAAGTACGTTTCGCTGCTATGATACCTGCCAATTGTGCCACAGATAATACATCGCCTTTTTTTATATTATTCTCAACTATCAATTTGCTTATATTTGAATTAACTTGTACAATTCCTTTTGCTATTGCAATGCGTTTAGTTTCGTTTTTCGAATCTACATCTACCATGCTTGCTTTGCCACTTTCATCTACGTGTGACAATGAGGAAAATACTCTTATACTCATATCATTTTTAAATCGAAATCCCATGTAATCCATTATATATTGTCTCGTTATATCTTTATAATTCTTAAGATGAATACGTTTCTTTTTAACTGTAAGCACAAACAAGTAAAATTAAGCTTATAATCTCTTTAAAATCGGATCATTGATTATAAACAATTCGAGCGATAACGTTTGTGCTTCTTTTTGAAGTATTAATATATTATTTTATATTAATTTACAATTCTTATAATACTATATTAATTAACCACCAATCAAAATCATTGGCCTGTTTTCCATGCGGGATAGATTGAACATTCCTGAAACATACGTATTATCGAAAAGATAATAATATAATATAAATATAAACGTTATCGCCTGATAAAAAGCTTAATATTTTATTATACAAAATAATCTTATATAATCCTATCTTAATTATATAAATTAAAAATAAAACTTAATACCCGCATGTTGCTTCTTTTTACGTTGCACCGCTTGTCCAATCATTTCTTTCAAAATATCATTAGATGCTCCACTACGTAACGCATCTCGAAGAGATATTTCTCCCTTTCCCTCAAACAAACAAACTTTTAAATTTCCATCTGCCGTTATTCTTAATCTATTACACGAATTACAAAAATGATCACTCATCGATGTAATAAATCCAATTTGTCCTGTAAATCCAGGTACATGATATGCCTATAAAAAAGAATTAAATTTTTAATAAAATATATAAAAAATATAATATATAAATTGAATGAATTTTTTAAATTATATACTTTAGATGTATCATTGTACTTATTTGGAAGACGTTGAAGATTAGGATATATATCTCTAATAAATTTTTTCATAGTCTCAAAGGAAACCATTTTATTCTGATTCCATTCATTTCCTTGAAAAGGCATATATTCAATAAAACGTATATCAATCGGGCGATTTTTTGTTAAATTAACAAAATCAATTATCTCATCATCATTGAAACCTTTCATTATAACACAATTCACCTACAATAAATATTACATATAATTATATTATTATATTAATTTAATCATATAAATTCATTTAATTGTTCCATACCTTTACTGGATTATAACCTAATTGAATAGCTAGATCAATTGCAGCCATAACTCTAGACCATCCCTTTCTACGGGTAAATTGTTCAAAACGATTTTCTTGTAAAGTATCTAAAGAAATATTTATTGCATCTAATCCAGCTTTTTGAAGAGATGGTAACTGACGTGTTAATGTTAATCCATTAGTCGTAATTGCAATTTGTTTTAAATTAGATAACTGTTTCAAACCAGCTATAATAATTATTATAGTA